GAATGCACACCCCTACATCAAGTCTACACTCCCGACAAGCTTTAAAGTCGGGTACATTTGTAGACATTGAAAATTTATAAAACTTTGCAAGACGTGTCCAATTCTAGTTGGGACTCTACAAGATGTATTAAATTTTAGTTAGGATTCTTGGAGGATACTCTATCTTAAACCCTTAAAGAGAAATCTTGAACATTCCGTCAAATCTTCATATATTCATAAAGAGATCAAAATATATCGGACCCTTCTTCATAATCAAATACTTCAAGAAGATCCACAAATCCTATCATGGAGAAATCTCAAGAGAGAGAAGAATCAAGAGAGGAACAAAATTGTACCCATAATATTATTTTATCAATAATATTCTTGTTTCTTCAAATTTTATTTACGGAAAAGGGTCAAAATTACCCCTAAACTATGTGAAATAGATCACTTATACCCTCCATTACATTTTGGGATCAAAAATACCCCCGCCGTTATCCTAGGAGACCACAAATACCCTCAAGAGTTAACACCCCAAATTATTAGTGATGTGGCAAGCCACATGGGACTAATCTCTCCACCTAAGCATTGCCAACTAAGATTCACTACAAAAGAATTTCACCTTTAGCGGCGACAATAGTCGCCACAAAAGCCGAGAAATCGTCACTAAAAGTTTTTAACCTTAAATTCTAATTTTGTGTTTTTTTCTTCATTGTTTTTAAAAAACCAAAAATGATATCGATTAAGTAGGAGTTTTAAGACACTGTATATTTTATTTTTATGTCATATGTAAATGTATAATATTTGTTGCAAACAATTGTGGCGACAATGTAAATGTATAATATTTGTTGCTAACAATTGTATTGTTAAATCTATGTTAGATTGCTATCAAAAAGTTTTGTTTTATGTGAAAATATTTGGTATGATTATGTTATTATTATTTTTATCTCATTTTTTTTATTGATGATCATGGTGTCCAACTTTCATACATCTTGACTAATTTCATGTGATACTTATCACTTTTCACTAGCAACATGCATGTATCAAATAACTATATCCACCAAGGCTAGGTCAGATAGAAAGAATCAATACTATTCTTTTCTCATTTTGTCTTTACTTATTATTTAGTAATCTTATTTTATCTTTTTACCTTTTTAAATTTTATTTTATAGTATCTACCTCATACCCAACTTTTCTTTTAGATTTATCCTACAAATTGCTTATGTGTGACATCATGTAATAATCGAAAATGATATAATCTTCCAAACACTATTCATTAAATAAAGAACAACATAAAATGATATATTATGAAGCAATATTTCCAACCATCTGAACAAAGTGTTAAGAAATATTAATTATGAGGGGTTTTAATTATTTTATCCTTAGTTGGTATTTGAAAAATCATAACATCATATCATAATTAAACTGTTTGTAATTTTCGAAAACAATTATTACCAAGAATATGATGGGGGAAATTAACTTTTTCTTATATAGTTAAGTAAATAATACGAAAATAAAATGTATAACATGCTATATAACATAACAAGTTCAAATATGGAGTAGCACTACTTAGTTGTGTAAAAAAAAATTAACATTTTCAATTTGTGTTAATTAAGTTAAGTCATGGGTATAATATATGTGCGCCTGTATTGAAATGTGTTAAGGGGGTTCGTTTGATATGCGAAATGAGATAACCAATAACAAAATAAGTAGGATGGGATAATTAATTCTTGTTCATGATTTCATGCAGTGTTTGCGTTGATACTTGATATTGCTCATGAAATTTCTGTGAGAAAAGTACACTTTATGGGTTATTATAACTTTTGTTCAACAAAATTCAATGTAATAAATATCAGATTCTCTTCCAATATTGTCTTTCTCAATTTTCATTAGTGGAATTCGTCTAAACTTTCATTAATACAAGATGTTTCTTTTTCTTAATATTTATAGTTCAAAAGACGTGTTTCATTCGGAAAAATGAATTAGACTTTATACACTATTCTATTTGATAATGTTAAATAATGTAATTTTTTCGATTGATATCCATGTCGATTTTTTGTTAAAGACAAATTTCTTTGCATTATCTTTCTGATAGTTACGATAGAGGAGTGTTTTTGGTATTTAGATTAATCTATTGATTCCATATTTAAAAATGAATTTCAGTCTTCTTTTGTTATAACATTTTGGATTAACATTACATTCTAATCTTCCGGTGAAGTTCAACACCCCCACCCCC